TGCATGGGTAGTGCATGTCCATAAAGTTTGGATTTTTATGGACCATTAGGGGTCCTAGGAGCATTCTGGAGAAGTTGGACTAAGGACCTTTAGGATTAAGTGCTTAATGGTTGAGTCTTTGCCATTTTTAGCGTTATGGAACTTAGGGTTTGAGATTTTGTTCCTTTAGGAGGACTAAATGGATAAAGTTGAAAATTTTATCCTTCTAGACCATATATCAGATTAGGTCTGAGCTTTGGAGCTCATAGGGCTGAAGGAAGCAGCTTAACCCATTAAGATGTTTTGAACCCAGTGCCCACAATGTGGCCCTAGGTTGCCGCGACATGGCAACTGGGATAAACCGCGTTTGTTTTGTCGTTTGAGGGCCACGACGTGGCAAGTCAACTTTGACCATTGACGTTTGACTTGCATTGACTTTTGGTCAAACCCTTAATTTTGGAAGGTAAGCTAAGATGTACTTTATATGGATGTATAGGTGGTATATAGCATCTGTTTTCGCAGCAGTAGGAGCAGTAGCAGTTTTTCATCGTTTGTTAGGTGAGTCTCTTCACTGTACTCTTGGGTCGAAGTCACCAAGGTCGGCCCATTGAATTATGTTTGTAGAATGATAGTTGTCTCTGTGACACTTGCTAATATGAATGTATGTGCTTGTTGTCTTCGTTACTCTTATTGATCTTTTTGTATGCTTAGTTGTAGGGGGTGAAATAGACCCTATACTGGTTGAAAGATACCGAAGAAGTTGAAATAGACTCAAGGGGTGAAATAGACCCAGTACCGATTGAAAGATACCAAAGGAATTGAAATAGACTCAAGGGTGAAATATACCCAACTTAGTTTCTAACGGTTATATATGTTTATATATGGGGTATTATGGGTTCAGGTACTTCTGGTTCGAAAGGGAAGAGTTTGTCATGATCGCACCAAATCTACCGGTATTCCGCATTTGATGACATGATTTGTACTCTAATGACTATTTTATACATTATCACATCTTGATGGATTTTGGAATGAATGAATGATGGTTTTGATAGTTTTAAAAATAAAATTTTTACATAGTATTTTTGGGATGTTACATTAAATCAAAAAAACTAACGAGTCCCTTAACTTTCAATAAAACATATTCACCTTTAAAAAATTTTATTTCAATACCATTTTAAAGTATTATGTAACATCCCAAAATTTTCAATAAATTTTTAACTTTTTAAATAAAATAAATCATCTACTTAATATCGTTATTCAAAATAAATTTAAAACCAAAACCCAAGATCAATTCAACTACCAAAGTTATTAATAGTTATATTTCTAAAATTTATGAGAAACATATTTAGTCAAATATCAAAAATCTGATATCTTGCATTGAGCCAGTGTGTACGATCATGCCCAACCATCATTTGTACCTGAAACAATATTTTTGAAGGGAAAAGGGGTAAGTACAAAGCTTAATGAATTCCACACATACATAATATTATATCATATAATCCTTACCCCAATAAACATATACAAACGGTATCAAACACATAACCACGCATGCATGTCATAGAACGAATAAATAACAGACATACTCCTACTGGGAAACATTAGCTACACTCGATCCCTCTTGATCAGTACATCGAGCCCTTGGGACACATTGGCTAAGCCCGATCCCCCGTACCAGACCCATTATGACACATTGGCCATTCCCGATCCCCTTGCTCAGTTCGTCGAGCCCTTGGGACACATTAGCTACGCCCCATCCTCACTTTGATGCGCCGAGTTCTACCATGAATATCCTCATACATGAGGGAAACCATACTATCACTATACTCTAACCCCGCCTAGTCCTACCCATATAAACAACACTTAGCATACACAAGCTAACGTAAAGAAAATACAATACAACATGGTGTAGTGAGAAACTCGCCTCCAAAAGAAAAGCAACCTACAAAGCAATTCGGGACTCACTCACACCTGATTGCCCTTCACACTTCCCAATAATAATAATAATTTTAGTTAAATTTAGTTACTCATTTGCCTTAATTATGTGAATAGACTAAAGGGTTAAATTTCATATTTCTACCTAGAAATTAGGGTCTATTCGGGACATGTTTTTCCCACCTTAAACTCCATATTTTTCAAAACTGTATCACATGCAAATATATCAGGTTCTTAGCTTTAAAAGTAGTACTCACACACCTCCATACAATTTTTCTACAATTTATGTCAGATTTTACAAAACTGTCTTGCATAACAGCTCATTCTGGACCAATCTGGGTAAATGGTCAATTTCACCCTAGTTAGAGGCATTTTTGATTTTTGGTCAAAACTAATGAAATGGAGTAGACTCATATATGAAAATTTGGGCACTTCTCGACCTAAAATGATGTCCCATGATTTTTGTAAATTTTTACAAGACATGGACAGTTTAGTGAATTTTCCAATAATTTCAGCTTTGGTTATTTTGGGAAAATAAAAAGTGGAAAAGTACTTACCTAGGATGAGCAGGATTAAAGATTCCATAAGAAAACCTTGTGACAAAGGCAATCGTCTTTGCTTTTACTTTTCTTTTTCCTGCCCAACATCTCTCTAGATATGTCGTCTCTCTCATCGTCGCTTTGAGTGTTTTCTCCACCATTCTTCCTCCAAAACCTCCAGAAACATACCTTTACGTATAAAGTACGAAATGAGTTAGGGAGATTTCGAAAATCACAGCCCTAAGTCAATCTTTTTGCTTCTTTTGTGACCTGCAGATTCTGATGACGAAAATTAATATTTTCTTCCCTTTTGCCTCTCTTTCTCACTCATACTCATGCAAGGAATCAGAAGGAATATTACATACCTTGAAGGTGCTCCAACGGCAACCAACATTTGTTCCCTTCCTCCCGCTTTTCTTCCCTTTCCCGCTTTCTTCTTCTTCCGTTCTCCGCTAGACAATTCACGGTACACATACACTTAGGTTTAGGGTTTTTGGGCTAAAACTCTTAAAAAGCCTAGCAAGGTTGATGTGAACGAGATTTTGGGCTGCCCCCTCATAAGAATCCCGATATGGGAGTCCAAATTTCAAAAATTAACTAATGGCCCCTCAAGTTTGCCATAATGACTTATTTTATGCTCAAAACAAATTTCCTTACATCAAAGGTTTCTAAGTTGCCAACATCCACCCCTATTAAATATACTCATTCAACTTAAGTCATTAAATCACTTAATCGTCATCATCTTCATCATTTTTATCCTTATTTCATTTGCATGCATTATAAAAAAATCATAGTTTTTTTTTATTCATTTACTGCAAAAATAGAAATCAATGGCCTATGGCCTAAATGATAATAAGTCCAACACTCCATGTACCAACCCAATAAATTATAACTCATTATTATGTTCTGTGGTTTAATACGAATAAAAAAAATGAAGAAGTTGGATTAATATGTAACACATATATTTGATTTTTATGCAAAAGGATGCACGTATAAATTCAATAATAAATCTATATGGAACCATATTATTTTAAATCATTAAGATGTTAAATAAATTCATACATTGATCTATTTTATGATTATGTCGCCTTCCTGATACGAAAATTAGACGACGAAATAGAATGTGTGTGCAGCATTTCATACTTATGTTATGGACAACCCACGCTTTATACTAAAAGATTAGATTATCCATTCAACTCTAATAACATCATATTTATGACATTTAATTTAAGGGCTAATTACGAAAGAAAAAATAATAATAATAATAAATATATAAAAAAACACTATATTTTTCCAAAAAATCGGTTTAACTACCAACTTTAATAAGTCCAAAAAAACCACCAGTTTTTGGTAAAACGTTTCAACGTGATAATTGTTGCCTATTAGAGTCGGGTTAACTATAGATTAATTACGAAAAAAACACTATATTTTTCTAAAAATTCGGTTTAACCATCAATTTATGAGTGTTTTTTCAGCACAAAAGAAAATTGGTGGATTTTTTTAGTAAAAATGCAAATCATAGTGCTAGCGATAAAACTTTTATCCAAAAATGGATAGTTTTTTGGTCGTTAAACCAGGAAAAATGAGAAAATATAAAGTTATTTCGTAATTAGCCCTTTAACTTAAAGCTGATAATATTAACCATATAATGTCCACACTAATGGTTAGTAATTTCTAATAATTGACACTTGTTATTAAAATTCTAACAAGCCGGAAGTTCTGACTTACGAAGAGTCGAAGTGATCCAATTTAGCAACTTTTCTTGATTCTTGAATCAGAAGTTAGCCGAAAACATTTCGGTGTCCGTTTGTCTGAAATTTTAATCATGTATTAAATCCTTTATGATTGTTGATTCAGACTTAAAAAGTAAACAATACGATAACTAATTATGTGAACTAATTATTGTACCGTTATTAAAAACTAACGACCGGGTAATCCATCATCAATCATCAATATCAATAATAATTATCTATTCGTTTGTTTTCAAGATTATTAAGGATACAAAAATTGGTTCACATAATTAATTATTATCAGATTCTTTATTTTTAAAGTCTGAAATTAACACCCCCTTCATTTTATATATCGTCAACTACATCATGAAACCCCCTTCTTACTACGCCATGAAACTTTAATCTGACGATGTTTAATTAAATAAGATTATATATTGGAAGTAATAGATATGCTTTTTTAAATTCCTTAAATATCCGAGTTATTGCATTGCGACTACCATAAGCTGGTAGGTGAAGGCACAACCATCATAGACTATCGTTTGAATGCTTCAAGGCTCAAGCCACTTGCTTGCTGTTATCATATTTGAATCGCTCCTTATATCTTATCTTAAGTTCCTTTTATTTATTTAGTTCATTCTAATTATTAAACAAAGTCAGTGTAGACCAATACAAATTGTTAGCTAGGGCAAAGCCGACGTAGGCCCCAATTTGGCCTATATATTAATCATACAAAGCGTTGCACCTTTTGCCACAATTAGACAATTTCTAAGGTCGCATATACAAACAGAAAAGAAAACCTTTGTTACTTTTCAAACTATCAATGGAAGCCTCTCTCATACGTATCTCTGGTTTCTTTTCTTCGACCGCTACCGCCAATACCACCACCACAACCTATCCAACTGCGATCCACTCTTATTTCAAAACCTCAAAAACCCGACCCCATAAATCAAACTCAAACGTAATCCTATGTTGCCAAAGTCCAAACTACATCCCTAACCATATTCAAGACCCTAACCGTGTACGCATCTTTGATACCACTCTACGTGATGGTGAACAAGCACCGGGTGCCTCTATGTCCCCTAAGCAAAAGCTTGACATAGCTCATCAACTTGCAAAACTCGGTGTTGACATCATTGAAGTAGGGTTTCCTGCTTCCAACAAAGCTGATCTAGAAACTGTTAAGTTGATTGCATGTGAGGTTGGAAATGCAGAGGTTAATCAAAATGGTCGTATACCAGTTATTTGTGGTCTAGCAAGATGCAATAAGAATGATATCGATAAAGCATGGGAAGCTGTGAAATATGCCAAATTCCCAAGGATACATATTTTTATAGCAACAAGTGAGATTCATATGAAGTATAAGTTAAAGATGTCGAAAGAAGAAGTGATTGAAAAAGCGAGGACCATGGTTGCATACGCTCGAAGTTTGGGCTGTAATGACGTTCAATTTAGCCCGGAAGATGCCGGAAGGTACATTATTCTATAAAGTGTCATTACTTATATAACTTACGAAATATCAATTGTATTTTTCATAGTTACCTTTCAACGATACAATTATCGTGTTTACGTTTCATATTAATTTGGTTAACCATTATGAAAATATAATAAACTTGTGATACACGGCATAAAAAGTGGGATACTATACATGGCATAAAAAGAATTAGAGAACTTATAAGTGGTCGCATCCATATTCCAATGCTACTGTTTTAAACTTTTGATTCCATAAAGTCTTTTTATATTACAAAAAGCGAACCGCTCCACACGATATTCAATTTAAACTTTAAGAATTGTCCCTATGTTCCGATCTCTATGTTTTGTTCAATTATAAGATTGTCTCGTCTTTGAGTTTTGTTTTTCCTTGACCAGTCCAATGAGTTTTATACTGCACAAAGACATAAAAAAATTATATTGTTTTTGATAAATATTATTTTGTATTTTTCTAGTTTTTTTATTTGTTTATATCTTTTACTGCTTATTTATTTTGTTGGTACCAACCAATCCTACCCCACCTTCACCCATCCTTGTTCGGAGATCCAACAACCACCAATGGTTACCATCTATACCCCGTTCACCTTCCACAAATACAACCGGCACCCCCTTTCACCTCGGACAACCACCACCCGTCACCACCCCTTTCACCTCAGATCCCCTTCCATCCCGAGAATCACCATCCGCCACCACCAACATCGTCACCCCTTTTCTAATGATCCATCGCTACCGTTAGTGATGGAGATGGCGGTCTAAGGATGTGATGAGTGACCTTTAGCGGATTCGGTGACGGTAGACCCAGTTTGCAGAAATCAATCTACATTTCTATATCGGCAACAGGAAGTTGTTTGACGAAGAAGGTGGTGGTTAGAGGTGGTCAGGGATGTAAACGAGCCGAGCCAAACTCGAGCTCGGGTAGGCTCGGGCTCAACTCGTTTAAAATTCATGGGGCTCGAGCTCGAGCTCGACTCGATTCGAGTTTTAATTTCAAAGTTCGAGCTCGGTTCGTGGATGATTTAAAAGGCTCGTGCTTGGCTCGGGCTCAACTTGTTTGTCAGGCATGCTTAAACGAGTCAATGCTCGGCTCGAACTCGGCTCGGTTAATAGTTAAATATCAAGTTCATTTATATTTTTAAGCTCGGTAAAAAGCTCGTTTATCATTAATTATTAGATATTCAATAATTAATTATTTAATTATAATTTAATATCCAAAATTAAAATTAAAAATTATATTATATTATTATACATAGGATCATTTAGGATCGTGAGTCTAATCGATCTTGGCAGATGAAGCTCGGGCTTGAGCTCGTTTAATAAATAAGTTTGAAACTAAGCTCGAGCTTGGCTTAGACATGTTTAACTCGAGTTTGTGTCGAGTTTTTAATGAGTCGATCTCGAGTAGCTCACAAGTAGCTTGACTCGTTTACACCTATAGAGGTGGTCTACGACGGACCAAAAACTTCTAGCGGTGTAGTCCATTAGTTTAGGTCTTCAATAGAGTTTAAGAACAAAGAGATATATGTATCAGGCTAGGGTTTTAAGTGGATGAGGTGGGGTAGAGTCTATTTTATTATTAAAAGCTAAAAATTATAAATATATAATAAGTAAATAAAAAATTTAGTACGATTTTAGGCATGACATGAACCAAAACCGTGATAAAAAATAGTAAAGGATGGTCCCAATGACAAAAAAAAGGACCAAACTCAGATGTTGGACCAAACCATAAGGACCATTAGTGTAATTTACTAGTCCGACCATAAACCTAAGACTATACCGCCATGCACCTCCACCATTCTGGTCCGCACTCAGTTCGACGAGGAGCCACCCAGGCCACCAAGGAAAACTCCACATCCCCCGTCAGCTTACCGAGTTTGCCAGACGGTAGATCGTTATATACGACTCATGGTTGTATGCGTGTATAATTTGAAGAACAATTAAGAATGTTAATTTTGCTCAAAACGAAGGTGAATTGACCATGAATCCATGATGTAGCCCACATTTTTTCTGTGTTTTGTTCCGGTTCCTCTCTGAATTGTGTAATTTGTTAGGATTATGGTTATTGTTGTTCATCACTGTAATTTTCGATATGTTTGTTTACAGATCTGATAGAGAATTTTTATATGAGGTCCTGGGTGAGGCTGTTAAAGCGGGTGCAACTACTCTTTGCATTCCTGATACTGTTGGCTATAACTGGCCTCGTGAATTTGGGCAGCTTATTGCTGACATAAAAACCAACACCCCTGGAATTCAGAATGTCATCATTTCTACCCACTGCCATAATGATCTTGGACTTGCTACTGCCAATACTTTAGAGGTATATATATGCTGATATATTAATCATTATGTTTTTATATTAAAGTTTATGCTTACCTATTCGAATTCCAGGGAGCTTATTCGGGTGCAAGACAATTAGAAGTAACAATAAATGGAATCGGAGAGAGAGCTGGAAATGCTTCTTTTGAAGAGGTGAGTGTAATTTACAAATTACAATCAAGTGTTCTTCCATTGTTAATTGCTTCTTGTTGATAATGTACTATTTGTTGATAGGTGGTAATGACTATAAAAAGCAAAGGAGAATTATTGGGTGGTCTTTACACTGACATCAAAACAGAACATATTGTCATGGCTAGCAAGATGGTATATGTCAAAACTTAATTAACATCTAATAATATTTTTAAACACTAGTTCTTGCTTCACTTTGAACATGCGTTGTTATATTCATAGGTGGAAGAGTACAGTGGACTAATGGTGCAACCACATAAGGCTATTGTTGGTGCTAATGCTTTTGCTCATGAAAGTGGAATCCATCAGGTCGGTTATATATTATAGT